TTTTCCTTTGCACTTAACCAGTCATGAAGAATTCTAAATATATTTAGATATTTTATACACACACACACACACACACACACACACATATGTATTCTAAATATACACATATAGCTTCTCTATGATGAGAAACAAAAAATTCAAGTGATAAAATATCTTTGAACAATGGAAGTAATCCATTAGATCAAGTTTTAGTGTCTCAGATTAAATGAAGTCAAATAATCTTAACATTTGTCTGAAGTATACATTTTGTAATACCTCTGAAGAGACTGAGTGATATAATAAGAATTTCACAGATAATCACTAAAATGTATTAAGAAAAAAATGCCAACGATTCATCAAAATAAACCCAAATAACTTTCTCTATTTCTTTTTTTAAAAATATGTTTTTATTGATCTTTTAGAGAGAGAGGAAGGGAGAGAGAAATAGAAACATTGATGTGAGAGAAAAACATCGATAGGCTGCCTCCTGCACGCCCCTTACTGGGGATCGAGCCCGCAACCCAGGCATCTGCCCTGACCTGGAATCGAACTGGGACCTCTCAGTCCATGGGACGGCACTCAATCCACTGAGCCATACCAGTAGGCTGGGTACTTTCTCTATTTCTTTATTTTTAAATTTTAGAATGTCATGATGTACAACATTGTTTTTATTCTAAAGGTACATGAAAAAGTTTAAATGAAGATTAAATTAGTTAACATACGTATAATTTTTGTTTGTGATTTTCACCCTATACTCTGCAGTTTTAGAGTAATCTTCGAAAAGCTGCTTTAGCATGCTTTCTGCTGCCCTCTGCTGCTAATTTTTCAGAAATGCATTTCAATTCTGAGTAATGCTCACTTAACCCTCTTTCTCTTATCTTAATATAATCACAACCCCCTGCAATATTAAAGTTGAAGGTACTCTATAGATAATTTAATATCACAGATGAGATAAACAAAATAACTTATATGAATATATGTATAACCAATGGACATAGACAACAATGCAGGGGGTGGGGTGGGGAGGAGGGTGTCAATGAGGGAAAAAGGGGAAACATCTGTAACAGAAAGAAAGAAAGAAAGAAAGAAAGAAAGAAAGAAAGAAAGAAAGAAAGAAAGAAAGAAAGAAAGAAAGAAAGAAAAAAAGAAAAGAAGTGAATTTAATTTACAGATGAGAACTTTGGTCTCTGAGAGTTTAAGCAATACATGAGTGTGGGGTCTGTTTTCTGACTGCCAGTGTTTGAATGCTTGATGACTGTGGACAGATTATTTAATTCTGACATAAAATGAATATAATAATAGTACCTACATCTTAGAGTCTTCATGGGGATCCATTGATTTATTACATAAAAAGCACTTATGATAGTAACTGGGTTGTAGCTAGCACTAATGTTAACTATTTTATAAACTTGTCACTAGCTAGACTAAAACCACAGCTAGTGACAAGGTAAGAACTAAAATTCTGGTCCACTGACTAACAGTTCAAGAACTTTCTTTTGACTCAACCAGTTTCAATACATAACTAAATTTTACCTGTGAATGTGATTTTTTAAAAATGTTACCTGTTTAGTACATTTGAAGCTCTTATAATCTTTAAAACATTTTTTTTTCTTTATTGATTTTAGAGAGAGAAAGGGAGAAGGAAAGAGAGAGAGAAACATTGATGAGCGAGAACATCGATTGGCCGCCTCCTGCATGCCCCCCACTGGGGATGAGACCCACAACCTGGGCATGTGCCCTGACTGGGAATCAAACCTGCTTCCTCCTGGTGCATGGGTCGATGCTGAACCATTGAGCCACACTGGCCGGGTAAAGCTCTTATAATCTTTACAAAGCTATACAATACTGCACCTCTTGCTGTCACTCATTCTTCTTTGTACTGTTCAAGGCAGGCTCCCCACAGAAATTATTACAAACACGCACAGGCTCCTCAAACCCCCAGTATAAAGTCCTACTACTCACACTTGGGACCTGATTTTACTGTTTACTTTAAGTAACCTCGAATGAACTCCCTGCCTGAATCTCCAGTGCACAATTAGACACTTGCACTCAATTTGATCTCGCCTTTGGCCTCAGCTCACATTCTCCTGAGTAATCACTGTCAATCAGGATTTCCTCAATCACTTCAGAGCTCCATCCTCTTTGCGTTTGCCTCTAACTTCCAGCTTGCTTACATAGAGTCATAGAGTCAGCTGGGGGTGTGGGGGTGGGGGAACTCTGGTTGTCATCATGCAGTCATACTGGCATCCATGGTAATTTCTCATCTTTCACCTGGCCCCTGGTTAAGAGACTGTAGGTATCATGACTGCAATCTTCTCCAAGTTTGCAGGCTCTGGGTGACATGCAGGTGTGTGAACAGACTTGATGAGGCAGCCTCTGATCTGTCCTCTCAGGCAATCCATGTGGTTGGTTCCCTTCCTGCTTCTACGCCATGCTGAGCAGGAGAAAAGTTTTTGAGACTTTCTGCTTCTTCAGATTCTATCTGGGACGTAGGGCACAGACCTCTTCTATATTTGGCTCCCAAACCTATCTGGAGCCATACTATTTTACTCCATGGGAGATTCCATCCTCTGAGTATATTGTTGATGCATAAATATTAAGCCTTAAGTTTTCTAGGGCTCTGGATTCTGAAGCTTAAAAGCTCAGGTTACGGTATCTCAAAAGTCATTTCTCTAAAACTATGGTTTCTGCTGAGAGTTTCTGAAGCCAGTTTAGAAACTCACAAGCTGAGAGTTGCGCTTCTGCTCTGGTTTTCTACAATGGTGTTCTGGGACCTTGAAAGGGGAAGGCCTTAGCTGTAGCCTGGGTGGGGTGGAGTGGGAGGGTTGGGAAATAACTGCCTCACTATGAAACCTTTATGGTAAACTTTTTTATCCTGTTAATTTTCTTATGTATATCAAGACTTGCCTTTTCATCTCGATATGCAGTTTGCTGAGGGCAGAACCATACTTAGAAAGTTTTTCTCAAGAAATAAAAACATTTTGTTTATCCTTATAAGTGGTTCCAGCATACAAAAATTACCTCATGAATTTGTTGAAGACCTTTAATTTTGTATCTTTGTGGAACATGACTCTGCCTAGAATATAAACATTTAAATAATAGGTAACTTTGCTGAATATATCCTGGAATACTTAAAAAAGAGAAAATACATATTGAAAATATTACTCTTATACAATTAAAACAATTATATTAATTATATTTATAATATTTACCTTATATAATTAAAAATGTACTTGGGAAATAACTGTGCAGATATGAAAGAGATGCTAAAATTTTTAAAAGGACCCTTATGCATTGTTCAAATAATCCTTTTCAAATTTGACTTTTCAATTCAGGTTCATGTTGACAAGTCTGTTTTAGAAGCCCAGCTTTCAAGGACAAAGAGGACCAGTTTTCCTTGTTGTTTATTGCCCAGTGCCAACAATGTCAGTGTGTTCCTTTTTTAGACAATGCAGCTGCTGGTTTCTAGCCTATTCTAGCCACTCCAGACTCAGGTGACAACTTCTGAGGGTGGGGAGGGGAGGCAGGTGTAGCAAACTCCATGGTCAGGAAAGTTCTTTGGTAACTAGAGAGAGAGAACATATTAGTTGGGTACAGAGACATTTCCAGGACTTATTATGAGAAGTAGGTGGGATAGAGCAAGAAACTCATCCTGGGCTGCCAAGGTAGATGAGGTTTCATGGTCTTTCATGATGGGTTGATAGTGAATTAATTTTATACTATGCCATTGTTGTTATTTAATTCAAATTAACAAATATCTTTTGAGTCCTAAATGCAAACAACTGTGCTAGTTCTGAGGGATAAAATACAAAGATGAGTGAAATATTGCTCTCTTTTCAGTAGAATTTGTCTCATTGTTTTTCTCATAATCCATGAGGTATATTGCTTCTCCAATTTTCAGCTTCTTAATCACTCTCTATTTCTTCTGGGGCAGGATGCAAATGCCTTTGCTTAACTCCTAAGGCCCTTCACAACCCAATTCCAGCCTATTTTCCCACCCCTTCTACCTATGCTCAGCATCTTGGTATATGGTGAATAGGCCACACCACCATATTCTCTTATAACTAACTCTGTGCCTATGGCTGGAACTATTACTTACTCTTCACAATTTAGCTGAAATGTTGTCTTCTCTGTGACACATCCCATAACTCCTCCTCTTTACCCCCAGGTGGTGTTGGGAGCCCTTTTTAAATTTTTTTCTTCTTTATTGATTTTTTTTTTTTTTAGAGAGAGAGAAAGGGAGAGGGAGAGAGAGACAGAAACATCGATGAGAGAGAACATTGATTGGCCGCCTCCTCCATGGCCCCCACTGAGGATCAGGCCCTCAACCTGGGCATGTGCTCTGATCGGGAATCAAACTGGCGACCTCTTGGTGTATAGGTTGAGGCTCAACCACTGAGCCACACCGGCCGGATGGGGCTCCTCTTCTTTTTTTTTTTTTTTTTTTTTTTTTTTTTTTTAATCTCACCCGAGGATATTTTTCCATTTTTTGTACAGATAGAGTGGGAGGGAGAGAGAGGAAGGGAGAGAGAGAGAGAGAAACATCGACGTGAAGGGACACATCGAGTGGCTGCCACCCGCACGACCAACCAGGGCCGGGGACAAACTGCAACCGAAGTACGTGCCCTTAGCGGGAACCGAACCCGGGTCTCTCCGGACCGCAGGCCGACGCTCTAACCGCTGAGCCAAACTGGCCAGGGCAGGGGCTCCTCTTCTTTACTTCATTTGTGTCTATCACTATTTGAACCCTCAGTAATATAATATTGGAATTGTTTGTATCTAGTTTATTTCCCCCCATACTGGAAATTTCTTGGAGGATAGAAGTGTGTCTTATTTATCTTTATATCTCCAGCATATGTCATAGACTTGGTACACAGCAGGCACAGAATTAGTGATATCTTGGTGAATGAATGAAACGATTTCATTTAGTTCCTTTACTTTTTTGATACATCAACTACCAATAAAAAAAAAAAATTCCAGTCTTCATTTTCCCCATTGTTACTCACCAACTCTCTTTTCAGAATGCTGTCAGAAGGGTATCTCAGTGGACTTGCTTACTGGAATGACATCCCCCAGAGTTGTACATCTTATCATGAGAAGGTGGCTGAGGAAAAGGAGGAAGAGACGGAATCTGCTGCTCTTTCCTATTCCTCCTTGGATGAAACACAAGTTGGAAGTCTCTACCTGAGCTGCAAATCCTCTGGCAAATTCATTTCTTCAAGAGAGAGCCAACACAGTAGAAATCAGAAACTCACAGTGCTACAGACAAACCCCAACCCCGTGTTTGAAAGCCCAAACTTGGCTGCAGTTGAAATATGTAGAGACCCCAGTAGAGAGACCTACTTGGTTCCACCTTCCTGCAAAAGTATTTGCAAGAATTACAATGACTTACACATTGCGGGGGGCCAGGTGATGGCCATTAATTCAGTGACGACAGATTTTCCTTCTGAGAGCAGTTTTGAATATGGCCCTTTGCTGAAATCATCTGAGATTCCTTTGCCGATGGAGGATTCCATTTCTACACAGCCCAGTGACTTTCCCCAAAAACCTATCCAGCGGTATTCATCCTACTGGAGAATAACCAGCATCAAGGAGAAAAACAGCCTTCAAATGCAGAAGCCTATTTCTAATGCTGTGCTGAATGAGTACCTGGAACAAAAGGTGGTGGAGTTATATAAGCAGTACATTATGGACACTGCATTTCATGACAGTTCCCCTACCCAGATTCTGGCATCTGAACTCATCATGACAAGTGTGGACCAAATTAGTCTCCAAGTGTCTAGAGAGAAGAAACTGGAGACCTCAAAAGCCAGGGATATAGTCATTAACCGCCTATTACAGTTGGTGTCCACTGAAATCAGCACTCCTAGTCTCCATATTTCACAGTATAGCAATGTGAATCCGTAAGAGAGAGGATATTTATATTCCTCTTTCTCAACTACTCATAGCTAAAACAACACTTTATTATTCATTTATTCTGAGAATGTGGAGGAGGGGTTTGTGAAGGAGTCAAGAGCTAAAGAAGTAAACGTTGGTTGGACGTCAGGTGTGAATTAAGGGGAAATCTCATATTACACATGGTGAAGGAATGTGGGAAGAGGAGTTATAAGGAATGATTTCAAAGCGAGGGTTGGATAGCAACAGAGGAAAAATAAAAATGATTTAAAAAAGCAAAGGTAGGATTCATTTCAAGGAGTTTAGAAATTGAAAAAGAAGACAAGACAAAGAAGAAGAACACACACATCATGGCAAAAGTAAAAAGCAAAAGGTATAAGGGTAAAGAGTTAAGAAAGTGTTTGTTACTCAAATAAATTCCTCTAAGTTGTTTTCTTCTTGAGGGAAATAAACTGTAGAGGGCTGCTATATTTGGGTAGAGAGACAGATTCAAACAGTTTCAAATATGTTTCTCTCTTTTTTCTATTCTGTATCAGTGGATCACTTAACTATATTCTTTATAAACATGAAAACAGTAGCAAATTGCAATTGTGTTTTTATTTTTGAATGATTACTTAGCTATAGATACAGCCACAAAACTGTCACTCAAATATCCTAATTCTGTTTTCTAGTGGAGATGAAGTTTTCTAAATGGAAAATACCACATAGTGAATATTAAATTATTTTGATTTGCTATGTGGGATTTTCTTGGTGACACCAAATTATGAATCTTATTTTTGCCCATATTTTTCTTTTCATTTTCTCCATGTTCTCTTGACCCTTCTGGAGCCAAGAAGGAGTCTTCTGTATCCTAAAAACAAGGTTACAAAATCTAGGGTCCCATCATATCAAATTCTGTAAATTCATGCACCAGAATGGTGGCTTTGTGAGGGCCACACTGCTCTACCCCCTTCCTCTAGCTCAGGGATTGGCAAACTATAGCCATTGACCAACTCTAGCCTGCCACCTGTTTGTTTTTTGGTTTTGACATATAACATTTTAGTAGCTTCAGGCACACAATACGATCTGATATTTGTATATATTAGAAACTGATCACCATAGTAAATCTAATTACATCCTTTTAAAATTCCCATGAGCTAAGAATTCTTTAAACCATTTAAAAATGGAAAAACCAATCTAAATAAGAATATTTTGTGACATGGGAAAATTATGATATTCAAATTCAGTGTCCATAAAATAAGGCGGTATATTAGAATACAGTCACAGCCATTCATTTATGTATTGTCTATGGCTGCTTACACACTAGAATGGCAGAGTTGAATAAACGTGACAGAAAACAGATAACCCACCAAAACCTAACACACTATTTATCCTTTTACAGAAGAAGTTTGCCAAAGTTGCACCACAGCAGTGCCTTGCCTGTATAATGCTTGCTTGACTTAATTCAGCTTCCCTGGGGACGCTGACTCTCAGATGGAGACTGGTGAGCAAGTTTATCAGGCAATGTTGGGAACAACCTCTGTGATGGAGTAGGGGAAGCAGAAGAGGTTTCTGTAGAGAACTCAGGCCACCTCATAGAACTCTAGAGTTGGGTGGTTCTTCAAAACAGATCCAAATTAAAATTCGAGAGTTGGAAAAGAAAATTCAATTGCTAATAAAAAAAATTAAGGGTTCGCTTTGATTCTCCAGCTTAAAAGGAAGGGGGCATAACCTTAGCTGAGGCAGTTCAGTTGAGGCCAAAATTCCCAAAGTGGGAATCAAGTGTTGGCCTTCAGCAGCCAAAATCTGAAAGTTGCTGGGGGAATGAGTTCATCATCAGGAAGGAGGAATCTGTGGAGCAAAACAGCATCCTCAACATGTCTCAGTATTTGTATCCATAGAGTAAATAAGTTTTTTATACGACATATAATATTGTATAGGGAAACCTGCTTAAATAATTATTCAGAAATGTTATTTACTGTTTTAAATATATCATAATACCGGTTATAATGTATTAATCACTCTCTATGTGTCTGGCACCATGTTAAGCATTTTGTGTGGATTATATTATATAATTCTCAAAATAACCTTATGAGAAAGAGTGCCTGTTTTTTTTTTTTTTTTTAAACAGATGAGCCAACCGAGCCAGCTGAGCCAACTGGGCTCAGGGATGTTAAGAATTTTGTCCAAGGACATTCAATGGTTGATGGAGCTGGTGAAACTGATTTTGTTCCATTTAACTTGAAAATCGTGGTTCTTTTAAAAAAATATGTTTTTATTGGTTTTTCTTTTAGAGAGAGAGGAAGGGAGAGAGAGAGATAGAAACATCGATGTGAAAGAGAAACATCAATCGGCTGCCTCCCGCACACCCCTCTTTGGGAATCAAGCCTGCAACATGGGCTTGTGTCCTTACTGAGAATTGAATTGGTACCTTTCAGTCCATGGGACAACGCTCAGTCCACTGAGCTACACTGGCTGGGCAAAAATCCTGGTTCTTAACCACTACCACCTACTCTCGTGTTGACCAATATATTTGCCTCATTAAAGATTGGTTTTCTATTCCAAGGGAAAATAACTTAATCTCTTTATCATTATGTTACTTCATTTTGTCTTTATAATGTTTTGCTTGATAATATTTATTTGCATATCTTCCCCCTCCTGAAGATAAACTTTAATTTATTCATTTGTTTCTCCATGTCCCCAACAGCACTTGCACATAGTAGGCACCCAATAAAAATATGTCAAATGGATAAATAAGTTTTGGTTGTGTTGGGTACCACATCTGATGGTCGAAGTAAAAGACCATAATATGAAAACCAGATGATTGTGGCTAGAAAAAAGTGCTATTGAGGGTTCCTTCTGAAGGAGAAAATGGACTGAATAAATGAGCTTAATTTCTTATAGCAAGTTAGTAAATAATAATATAAATGCATTATAATAAAATATTATTATGAATATTTTTTCTTTTGCTTACTTACTAAGAAATAACTTGTTACAAAGTACATACATACCTCGGAGATATTGTATGTTCAGTCCCAGACTACCACAATAAAGTGATATTACAATAAACTGAGTCATAATCTTTTTGCTGGTGGAGGATCTTGCCTTCAATTTATAAAAAATGCAACACCTGTGAAGCACAGTAAAGCAAAATGCAATAAAATGAGGTATGCCTATAGACTGGTCAATTTTTTTCAATGAGCCTTTATTTGATGCTGTGTGTTTTGGGGGAGTGTTGGAACCTGTGTATGAAACATATTAAGAGAATACACACCTGTGTGTGCATACATACACAGAGGAGTAGGCCCTGTTCTCTGCAAGCATACTATATTGTTGGAGAGACCTAACAAATAACTAGGGAACAAGTACCAAATACACTTATTAAACTAGAACTTGGCAAAGTGGTATAAATAGGAATGCAATTATCAGTGATTGCAACTCATGTGTGATAAGTGCTGAAAAGGAGACATGATAGGAGGTACTAGACAGTGGAAGAGCCCAGTGCAGGCAAAGATTCCAAGGAGAAGTGATGGGTCTAATTACTCTTAAAGAACAAGATTAGACCTAGGCAGATGGATGGGAGAGATATTCTAGACAGAGGCATGAGAGGGTTTGGTGTGACAGGTGGATGACTATAATTAGAGCTGAATAAATGCATGATTGCTCAGTGTATTAGTTCTCCATTGCTTTGTAACCAGTTAACACAAATTAATGGCTTAACACAACACAAACATTATCTCACAGGTATGGTCAGAAGTCCAAAATCATTCTCACTGGGCTAAAATCAAGGTTTTGACAGGGCTGCATTCTTTGTGCAAGTTTTAGTTTTAAATATTACCTTCATAATAAGTATTTTATAGTTCACTCATTCTGTCTTTTAAAAATACTTTAGTAGATAGGATTGGCCTGTCTTGGCTCTCACTTCAGATTTTCCTAAATTCTCTCAAACAAACAGCACCTGGCCTCAGCGTGCCCCATGCCTCCAGTTAACTGGCCCCAGGCCTGGCACTAGAAGCAGCCAGCCTTGGTTCATAGCTTAGCTTTGCCTGGTCACCTCCAAGACCAGCACAAGAAGCAGCCATCTGTAGATTGCTCTGTAGCTTATGTCTGGTGGTCTCAGGTAGAACACAGACAGAGGCTGACCTTGCCCCAGAGCCAGCACACAGTGAATAGCTTCAGACTATGTCAAAGCACCACCACCCAACCCTCTCCATAAGAGACACACTTAAGGAGTGGATTCAGTGGGTACCAGAGCCCTGCTGAAGTAAGTCTTGCTCTGTGTGGTGGGCCCCTGCACAGCTGATCATCCAAGGTAGACAGAGGTCAGTGGTCAGTGGGCACAGCCAGTCCTTGCAGCTGATCAGCTTGAGTAAATCTCTCCCGTTGATGTGCCAACAGCAATCAAGACTCAATTATAACAAAAGGGTGGACAGTCCACATGAGGGGTGCACCTTGAGGGCTGAGCTGGGGTGACCGTGGAAGCTGTGCCACTGGACCCTATAGGACACCTACTACAATAGGCTACCCTAGGAAGCCTAGGAGACATAGCAACTCTACCTAATACATAGAACCAATCACAGGGAGACAGCCAAAATAAGGAGACAAAGAAACATGTCCCAAATGAAAGAACAGAACAAAACTCCCAGAAAAGATCTAAATGAAACAGAGATAAGCAATGTAACAGATGCAGAGTTCAAAACACTGGTTATAAGGATAGTCAATGAACTTAGTGAGAGCTCAAAAGCATAAAAAAGGACCAGTCAGAAATGAAGGGTGCCCAGTCAGAAATGAAGAAAGCACTAGCTGAAATAAAGAATAATTTGCAGGGAATCAATAGTAGAATAAGTGAAGCTAAGAAGCAAACCATTGACTTAGAATATAAGGAAGCAAAAAACACCCGATCAGAACCAAGAATCCAAAAAAAATGAGGATAGTGTAAGGAGCCTCTTGGACAACAAGCATACCAACATTCACATCATGGGGGTGCCAGAAGGAGAAAAGAGAGAAAGAAATGAAAAACTTATTTGAAAAAAATAATGACAGAAAACTTCCCTAAGTTGTGAAGGAAACAGACATACAAGTCCAGGAAACACAGAGAGTCCAAACAAGATGAACCCAAAGAGGTCCACACTAAGATACATCACCATCAAAATGCAAAAGGTTAAAGACAAAGAGAGAATCTTAAAAGCAGCAAGAGAAAAACAGTAACCTACAAGGGAGCTCCCATAAGACTGTTAGATGATTTCTCAAAAGAAACTTTGCAGGCTAGAAAGGAGTGGCAAGATATATTCAAAGTGATGAAAAGAAACAACCTACAACCAAGATTACTCTATCTTGCAAAGCTATCATTTGGAATCGATGGGCATATAAAGAGTTTCCCAGACAAGAAAAAGCT